TTTTGTTCGTTCGAAGTTTTCTTTCTTTGCGATTCTTTTGTCTTCTTTTGTCTTCTTTTTTCTTTTGTCCCGTTCTACGGTGCTTTAATTCGACTTGGTATTCGAATTCTGGGGCTTTTTTTGTGCTTGTAAATATTATTTTATTTTTGGCTTTTTTTTAGTTGTTTCTTAGTTTGTCTTGTTTGTTGGTTTTTGTTGGTGGTTTGTGTGGTGGTTTGTATGGTGTTTGCTGTCCGCGGTATTTTGTGCCTGTGCGCGGTTTTTGTGCCCTACTGTGAGCCTGCGAACAGTAGGTCCATCCATGGAACGCTCGGGCCTACGGGTAGAAAGGGTGAGTGTCAACGCTCAGCTTGCATCAGGATCGCCTCGCCCGCATCTCTTAATGGCAGCTGGATTGTACCGGGTCCTACTGCCGGCTACTTGAACAGTGTTCAGCAACGGACCAATCGTCACATTGTCCCCTAATAATGTAAGTGACGAGAAAGAAGGAACGGATTACTATGGTACCAGGTATGTACCTTACCTACCTCTAGGGTTGTATGGCGGCCTCAGCTCCTGTGCTTAAACGTGCAGATGGTGTGCCGCCGAGGTGTGACCAACAACCAATCATGGTTTCCCAGCGTCATTTTGAGACTCCTTCACAGCGTCTATGTCGCCAGATTGCAATGCAAAGTTTTCAGCTGCACGAGCCGAACCAGCCTTTTCCACAATACACTGTCGAGCGCAAGCAGTAAATAAAGGGGAAAAGCAGAACCATGTCTAGGGAAGGGAAGTGACAAGTTTAGGCACAGCCCACGACTCGACATACTGTTGTGTACCGGGCGTTAGGCTGCCCCGACGGTCATTGTCGGCGTGGCTCAATCATGAGCCTGCTTCCGGTCACCTCCAGATGACGAAAATGATCAGCAGGACAGGAACAATGCCTTGTCGGGTCTTCTGCCATAGTGTTGGTACTCTGTGACCTGTGACGTGCAATGTCAGGGATGGGTCAGGGGCCCAAATGTGGGCGTCTTTGTCACCTTCAAAGTGCAAATATGCCTTGCCGGAACGCCTAGGGGACGCTTAACGCCCAGGTCACAACGCCAATAAGACGCAAGAAAATGCAAAACAGAAGCCCAGCGTGGCGTGTTGTAATCTGCTGGTACGTGGTGTCCCCCCAGACGACCAGAACTTGAGGAGAAATCTTGCGTAGTTGGGCGTATAAGTCGAGGCGGTGGAATGCTGACCGAGATCTCACGGCCGCCTGTGCTCGATGTTGCTTCGACTTATTCAGATATTTACCCTGCGTCAAGCAGCAAGCCGATCGAAGAGAAGTTCAACGAAGAACTATCGTCACAAGACTGCAATGGCGAGCGACAGGGTCTTCGTATATGATCTTGAGAAACAAGATGTCAGAGCCGTACCTGCAAAGGACATCGAGAGAACCTACTGTGGCCGTAAGACCATGCATCCCCTTGACATAAGGCGAACAATTGCTGACGCAAGATAGAACTCAACGCCCATACGATCGGCACCATCCCAATTGGCAAGGGGAGCCGCAAAGTCGACGTTGTCCTCAAGGGGTCGACCGACACGAACGAAGTGGACGCTCACGTCGCGACGGTCACCATACCCTTCAACGTCATGGTACAAAGGTGCATGGGGCACTTCAAGGAGATCCTTATTACGACCGAGAGGTGCTCAGCGCCTGATCAGACGAACCACCACTGCTGATAACATGGCTTAGCCCGATGAATGGAATAGTGGGATCTGCGAGGACTGTCAGGGGAGTACTGTTCTGTGGAAAAATCGAAGGAAGATAGACTGTTACCTTAGGTATCATGATGTATGACAATTTACGTATCCTGTTCCTTGAATTTGACACGGCTAGCTGTGCGGACGTGTCCGGCGGAGTAGACATGAGAATCTGACAGGGAATGTTTCGTTCCGTGTCGGAGGTCAGGCGAAATGTTGATGAGAGAGAGACATGTGTTCGTTAGAAACAAGCAGAGAACACAGTTCTTCATCTGTTTAATAAAACAGAACTGAAAGTTTATCGAGACTGTGACGCCTGAAGGTGCACACGTTGTACAGACTGTCGACGGTTGTCGTCTAAGAAGTAACCTGGAGTGCACCTAATCCATCGAATCATGCTCCGGGTTCTATAGAAAATTCCGCTGCGACGGAAGGCAACAGAGATGAAATGGATGGATCGCGCACCACAACTGAAGATCGAAGTCTACTGTACGGAAATAATGCACGTAACAAATTTTAAAGTGTCATCTAACCATTGATAGGTAGCGACGTCAACCACTTCAGCGAAGGTGAGCTTCGGTGTGGAGTAGCACGTGACCGCACACCGAGGACGCTTGCACGGGCCATTCTCGTCAACTTTTCCACTCCCGACCACGATCGCATCCGATTGCAGGTCGTCGACAACCCGACAAAGTCCCCCACAGCCTCGATGAATCGGTCTGTGGTGCGGTCCGCCCTCGGGCGCTGCCGCTTAGAGGTCCCTCGATGCTCAATATCCCAATATCCCACCAGCACACCGCGGCATTTCTCGACAACAGAAGGCCGGAACGCCGACGACGCCGACGACAAGCCATCACCACCCACATCCGCAAGCCGGCAAAGATCCCAAGCCGCAGCCTCTCAATTGAGCTCACTAAATAATGATTCTGGCTCGGCAAGAAGGCCGTCAGGACTGGACGCCCGGTCCCTCGCCGCTTCACCCTCCGGCCCCAACGGCCCCAAGATCATCAACCTCCGCAATTTAGGACGCACACCATTCGCGCGAGGTGGAGCTCGCGGAGGAGCTCGTGGAGGAGCACGAGGTGGAGCGCCATTCCAACCCAGATTCGGCCAGCCCGGCGCGGCTCGTGAGGGAGGACATCCTCGCATGACCAACTCATTCCAAAAGTTCGTCGCCGGCGACCGCGCGGGCGGAAGAGGTGGTCGCGGACAGTTCTCCCGTGGAGGCGGTCGCGGAGGTGGCCGTGGCGGAAGGGGTGGAAAGGGCAAGAGAGACGACAAGAAAAAGGCCAAGCAGGACATGGACGACGACAAGTTCGCCAAATTGACGTGGAGCAAGGACGAGCAGGCGTACATCGACGCCCACGAGCAGGGAGTTGTGACGAAGTACACGCCCTCCGCGACTCTCGCCGATTACTCGGGCTACGGCCCGGCGATCGCCACAGACTCGCCGCTCGGCAAGGTCGAGTCGGCCATGCGGAGCATGCGGATCCTTGCGGGCGGCAAGCCGTTCTGCGCCGACGGGTACTACACCGACGACAAGGCGATGCTGAAGCGGTACCGCGAGGAGAAGAAGCCTATTTTCTTCGACGACGTCAAGGAGAAGGAGTGGTTGGTGAAGATGACGGGTTTCAACCTCGAGAAGGAAGGGATCCAGGGTCCGGATGAGAAGACCAAGGCTGCTATCGTCCAGTCTGCTATCCAGGGGAAATATACGGCGCCCAAGTTTGCGGGGCTGAAGGACACGATGGAGGTGCTCGCGCAGTATCACTCCAAGCAGGATACATGGATGCCTACAGATGGAGAGGCGTTTGATGAGAAGGTCAGGTCGCTGCTGCCGACTAGTCGCAAGGCTGCTGCCCCTCGGCCCAAGGCATAGAATTTAGACGGAGGCGAACCCTCGACGCAGACTCGACGTCTGTTGTATGTACCACTAGTCAAACCAAGATGGCACCTGTACACATATCTTACATAGAGAACCAAGAACATCTATGACTTCCCCTCAACCTCCTTCTCCTTGGCCTTGATCTCAGCCATCTTCTTGTCCTGTAACTTCTGCATCTCTTTCTCAAGCCGGGTGAAATCGTCCTTCACAATCTTTCCATCCTTCAACCACTTCTTGACCACCTGCTCCCTCTTGTGTTTTGCATCCCTCACCTGCTGCCTCCACGCGTTGAGTATATCCTTCAACCGCTTGGCCGCCTCCTCCGGATCCTCGGCCTCTACCGTGAGCACAAGCTCCTGCTCGTTGTCTTCCACCCGCTGCGGCTGCTGGTTGAAGTCCGGGCTCGCCTGGATGGCTGTCATGATGGGCTTCACGTTGGCCAGCTCGTGCACTAGGATGGAGACCTTGCGGCTGCCGCGCTTGGGCACGATGGCTGCCAGCTCGTGGAGGGGAAACGTCTCGGGCGACTTCTTGTCCGGCCGGACGCGCAAGGCGCCGAGGACGTCCGGATTGAAACGCCCGCCGCTGCGAGCTTTCGTGAGCTCATTGAGGTGGTGCTCTGTGCCCTTTGCGAAGGCATATTCGAGGTCCGCGAGGTCGAAGGGTTCTTCTACGTTTGGTTTGGGGGCGTCTGAGGACGATGACGGCGAGGAAGAGGAGCTCGGCGAGTTCTTGTACGAGTTCTGTTGTGGTTGCTTCTTCTTAGCCGCCACGGCGGTCTGGGAGAAGCCTCGTACCGAGGCGCATGATGGGCTGCAGCGACTGCGTAGTCGGCTTGGGTAAGAGGCCTGTCGATTGGCGCCGATGAGCTGGCTGAACGGAGCGACAGCTGCCCCTTCTGAGCTACATTACGGTTAGCAGGTTAAGCTTAAGCATCAAAGCTAAGCTTCTTGAATCATGCCCCGGGCAACATACGCTGCAGCTCTGCTTATGATTCTGCTACTGCGGAGCAGCGCTCCAGGCTGGCTTAGATTCCTCATCTGCTCGGTTGCTCTGCACTTCGACGTGCACCTTGTTCGGAGAAATGTACGACGACAGGTTGCTGTTTGGAGCTCAGCGTCTCAGGTCTCAGCCTTGCAAGTCAGAAAAGGTGGGGTGCCTACCCGCCAGTGGTCCAATATGACGCCCAGGCACCCGACCGTGCCCCACCTATTCGGAGATGTCTGGGTTTTCCGTTCACACCGCCATTTTGTCGTCGACATCTCAAACTCACTCCAGCTTTTCCCACGGATTCATGATTGTCAGACCAATTACTATGAGCTATGATAACGCACCCTCCACCATCGGCGATCCAATCCGGTCTTTCGTTCGATCGTGTCTCGGTCGTTTAGCTCAGTGGTTAGAGCGTGTGCTTTACAAAATTGTCGCACAAGGTCGCAGGTTCGACCCCTGCAACGATCATTTTGCTCCTTCCTTCACTGGAAGTGAAACTGTTGTTTGGAACTGAAAGTTTCCTTTTTGCTCGCAGACTGTGTGAACACCAGTGCTCTTCTCTGTCCCTCGTCTCTCGGGGTCGGTGCTTTGTCATCCGGCTTGTGTATCCTCCGTCCGGCTCGGCCGACTTAAGCTTAACCAGCAGGAATTACAAAGACTCGGGCTCGCCTTCATAGGCTTCCGGGAGTGGGAGGCACTTGTGACACCACAACAATGACATCGACGATTGTCTTCTACTAGCAACCACACATGTTGCAAAACCGGCTGCTAGGCTATTCCTTCGAGAGAATGACCAACGAGTTGGAAATGCGTCCGGACGCCGTTCGGGGTGGCGTGCCTTGGCGACCAATGAACTGCCCCTATAGACGTATTCAGCTCTACCTTGCATCTACATGCACGGCTCAGTCATAGCATGATCCTCCCGGACTGTGTATAAGTGGCACAGGTCTTCTTTCCCTCTGGCTACCAATATCATTGCTATCATCTACAAGAACCTCGTCCCAGACTTCTCCCCTTCGTACACAATCCAACTCTCAATTCCGACTCTCAAGACCAAACAGACGTAGTCGAATAAATACGATATGGCTGCCAAAAAGATCATCACTGTCTTCGGTGCCACTGGCGCCCAAGGTGGCTCGGTTGTAGACATCTTCCTCCACGACCCCAAGCTGAAGCCAGAGTGGGCTGTCCGAGCTGTCACCCGCGACACCACCAAGGCATCAGCCACGAAGCTTCAAAGCCAAGGCGCGGAGGTTATCAGTGTAAGTGCCACAGCTTGACATTCCATCATTCTGTGCCGGATCTGACATGCTATGCAGGCCGACAATAACGACAAGGCATCCCTGGTCAAGGCCATGACCGGAGCCACGGCCGTATATGCCGTCACCAACTACTGGGAGAAGATGGACATGCAGCTGGAGATCCAGCAGGGTAAGAACCTCGTCGACGCCGCCAAAGATGCCGGCGTCCAGCAGTTCATCTGGAGCTCTCTCTACAACGTCAACAAGCGTAAGTACTTTGTCTTTGCAGGTATCCTCTGCCAAACTAGCCACAAACCAATGCCTGACACTCCGTAGTCTCCAACGGCAAACTCCCCCACGTCTACCACTTCGACAGCAAAGCCGAAGTAGAGTCCTACGCCCGCGAGGTCGGCATCCCGGCCACCTTCTTCATGCCGGGCTTCTACATGTCCAACTTCCCGGGCGGTGTGTTCCGCCAGTCACCCCAGAACAACAACGCCTGGACCCTGGCCCTACCCGTGCCCGAGACGGCCGTGGTGCCCATGTTCGACCCGGCCGACACGGGGAAGTACATCAAGGCCGCTGTCCTGCACCGCGATGAGGTTCTCGGCAGGCATATCCTGGGCGCGACGAGTTACATGACGCTCGGGGAGATCGTGGATGCGTTCAGGAAGGCGTACCCCGAGGCGGGCAAGACGGCTGGGTATGCTGAGCTGCCGCATGATTTGTACGTCAAGATCTTGACGGGCACCGGGATGCCGGAGTTCGCGGCGGTGGAGTTGCTGGAGAATATGAGGCTGTTGAAGGAGTATGGGTATTACGGGGGCGAGAGCTTGGATGAGACGCATAAGCTTGTGGAGGATAAGTTGACGACTTGGGAGGAGTTTATGAGGAAGGCTCCTGCGTTTAAGGATTTGAAGTAGATGTTGGCGAATTGATACACCAAGTTGTCAGCAAGTGGTATTGTGTTAATGCTCGAAGGGGGTAATTTAAACAACATACTTACCCGCCCCGAGGATTTGTAGATTATATGATCACCTTAAATGTTTCTTTGCCAGAAAAAGGTTTGGGGGGGTGGGATGGGTGTTAGCAATGCTGGTTGTTAAGAAGAAGGCGACATGCGTGTCATTGTTGTTGTATGTTGTGAGGGATGTAACAACCTGGAAGACATGGTATGGAACCCCTATTGTACTATTGTAATGACAGCTAAGCTCTGCCGTAAACACATCTCTCCCTTAATCAGCATATACTACAGTAGTCACTTTACTGACACATCGGACTCCCCAGTGATGTGTAGATCTTGTCAGCAATAATGGGACTCACTGCTCTTACATCCACCCTGTCATCATGGCTCTTCCTCTCTGAACTCATTTATGCCCTTGAAACCCGCAATATTCACTGGTATGTCGTTATCAGCATGTTTATTCAGGGGAAATCAAACAGTCGTCTCTTCTATTCCACCAGGCGCCAGCGCCTGCAACTCTCAAGATATCTTATATGACGACCTACATTACACCACGCAACTACAACTCCTCCTCCTCCTCCTCTTCATAGACGACACCTACACCCTGGGCAACGATTGGGGTGCTCTTGAAACTGTCCGCAATCGCCTTTTGCTCCGCCAAGTCCACTTCTTTCAAGTCCACGGCTGGCTCAGCTATTGGTCTAAGCCCTTCATAGTGTCCAATAATAGGAATCCATTCACTCTCACTTTGGGCATCGTCGTTGTATACCCAGATGATTATCTGGTCTCCGTCTGGTGCCGGCAAGAGCATCTCGCCTTGAAGAGGTCGCACGATTCCAAGGCGTAGGTTTCGCGGTGGCTTGAGGCTTTCTCCCCATACATGGAGGACACCTCCAAGCTGGTCGGCTGTGAAATTATTCTTGTCTTTCTCCAGCTTCTTGTATCTGCTTGTCTCGATAAAGTCCTGGAAGAAGGGGTTCTTGCTGAGCAAGTCTTGCAGGTCCTCGACGGCCGGCGGAGGATATAGCCGCTCAGGTTCCTGCGCCACGATGCTTGCTATGAGAGCACGCAACCCGCAAAGAAGTCCATGTGCCGATGTTAGAATGCGCTCATATCCGTGGGGAAAGCTGCGCATGTATGCCTCTCGTATCTCCTTCTCTGTTGCTGCCTTCTCTGCTGCTGCTCTGGCCGCCTTCTGCTCCTGTGTCATTGCCTCAGGTTCTTGATCTGCCATCTTTTGCCCTTCTTCTGTCGGTCCTTTGGGTCTGTTCGCATCGTCATCAGGGGACTCTGTCGGATTCTTGTCTCCCAATCCTGCTGAATCTTTCTCAGTCATGGGCGAACTCTGCTCTGAGGCGTCATAGTACTCCTCCTCAGTCGGCCACTCCTCTTTAGGAGACTCCGCGGCAGACTCTGCTGGATCCTCCGTCCCCCAAAGATCCTCGGCGCTAACAGGTGGTTGGTTTGACGAGGATTGCTCGTTTTCGTTGCCGAAACCCAATCGCCAGCGTCTGGGAGGAGCCCGTTCGTAGGGATCCTGCACTGTGGCAGTGCCCTCCAACTTTCGGCAGGGAAACCAGAACAGCTTCTTGTCTTGAAGTCTACCCTCGAGCAGTTCTGCCTCGGCGAAGCAGCCAATGTCATCCAGGAAGTCGATGAAATCATAGGGGGCAGGCCCCGCATCGCCAAAGTCACCTTGTGCCTGGGCCAAACGCATCAACATGCCGAAGAACTCAGTAGTGCTGGAATTCAAGGCGAAGAGCACAATGCTAGCGCAGATACGGCCCAAGCAAGTGATCCACTGCGCGTCCATAGACCCGACAGCTTCGCGGAACTCAATGGTAAGTTTGCATTCCGGGTCGAGATCCCAGTACCACTCGTCCCGATCCTCCGGATTCATGTCCGGCTCGTATCCTGTGAAACTGTAGTTGGGCTTGCCCATAACACCCAACAGAGCTGGAAGCTTGTCTGTCGTTGAGCAAGCAAGGCACCGCCAGACTCCATCGAGAGCCGAGTCCACGTCCACGTCCTTGTCCGGTATGTCCAGCAATTCTCGGTCGCCAAAACCGTCGGGGTAGTTTTGCTCGAGCTCCTGGTGAGGCCCAGGAGCCGCTCTAGATGTAGCCAGGCGAGAAGAGGGAAAGCGGCGGACGCGGGCCGGTCGAGACGAGGCTAACGGAGCAGAACCCCCAAGGTTGGGCTTTCCAATTGTCCCCTCGCGAAAAAAGGTTTCGTTGTCTTCGACATTAAACAGCGCAAGTCCACGTGCAAGTCTGCTGTGTTCTCGTATAGGAAGACTATATTGGCCTCGTCTGCGTTGGGGTGGGTGGATGTGGCAGCCAATTGGGTCCAGGCACCAGAGCAGCGCTGCGACCCTCTTCACCGTCTGTGTGTTGAGAGGTCTCAGTCCGTTTCCTATATGAAACTGTAGCCCGCACGACTGATTGACTCTTATCCGGTAATTGTGTAGCAGCACTTGTATGAGAAGTTCCAGCTCTTGGAATGCTATAGTCGAAGTCCATGACGCAGATGAGTTGACTTCGACTCCCTGGAAGCGGTATCCATTCCACGTTTTATCAATATTCCCCTCGTGCAGAGAGTCATCGTGCTTGACCGAGATACCGAATATCGCGCGCGCTCGCTGTTCATCGACATCTGGGGGGAGCGGCAAGTCATCATCCTGTAGTGTAAGGCCAGCGTCCCGAAGGGTCGTTTTCATGTGTTTGTAGATGTAGTCATGAGAAAATTCGGATGGTATGTCCCCGGGGAGCCTCAGGATAGGGGCTAGGTGCTCGTCGTCCGCATCAGGGTCAGGTTCGTCTCCGATAACATATGCGACGATGAATTCGAGCTCACAGCCAAAGCTGAGAACATTCCTGCTCGTGTTGCTATCCTCGTATTGGGGGCCGTCTGTGTCTGACATGATTTCGAATATGTCAATGGCGTTGTATATAAGATTGGTCTTAATCAACACAACTCCTCATTCCTGCGTTAGGATATAGGGGAGAAGGCTTCATATACTGAGGACAGTCCGCAGTGTTGCCTTCTCCCCAAAAGACAAACCGAGTGGTCTCTTTTGTGGATGACAATTATAGAACATCTCGTTTGTCCTCAAGTGAAGATCAAAGCTACAAACATAGTCAAAGCCATTGGTGTATGTCCCCCCTAAAACCAAAGCTCTGGGAGAAGTGAACACAACCCTCGAAGGGAGGATAAAGAAACACCATAGCACAATTGAGATGAGCTCGAGTGACTTCAAAGAA